ATTGAAAAAGTCATGTGACTTTGCGCTATGAGACGGGATAACTTGCCTAACCAGCGGACCGATCTCGTTCACAGTATCTATATGTTGTTTTGGTCGTTCTGAAATGCCTGAGCAAAGTCTGTCGTCAAAGTATTTCTGTATAATTACTGTCTTCCACGACTGCGTCCCCAAACAGCAGCATCCACCTCCGAAAGCAATGACCACATTCATTGTGTTACGTCTGCTCGCTCCGAGGCGCAAGTCATTTATTATATATAAAAATTATTATATTCAGTGGCTTCTCCTAGTTTTCTTAGTGATATTTAGTGCCAGTTCATCAGGAAGTGACGAGTTTGTTCTCTTTGACTCGTTGGATGGAAACGGCGCTTTATTCGCAAATGTTTTATGCTATATTCCAGTTTTGCGCACAAGTTAAATTTGCATCTTTGGATGGAAACATAGCTATTGCAACTTGTTTGTTCTCAATTTAACTACCTACTTTTTGATTTAGGGCACCATGAAATCCATTTTAAATTCCCATACATTCTGTGTTTTCCTCTTTTTCCTGGATTATGTGTTTTATAATTTAATACAATGAACAATTTAATTTATCTTTTAAAATATAATCAAATAAAAATATAATCAAATAAGATGTTGCACAACAGAACTGTATAAATTAAAACACGTATGAAAAATATTTTCTTATATTTTCTTTGTTGCATCAAGTTCAAAGTATTACTTTGATAAACACATTATAGTATACAATAATAATATATTTCTGTCATAATTTCTTAAAGTTAAACCAAACTTTTATTTCGGCAGTTGGTCAGATCAATTGAAATGGTGTAAAGCTGGTGAAGTGACTCTCAGAGCAGCTCTGGAGATGAAGTTCATGTCCTCATATATTGAGACGCAGACACTGAAAACACCACAAACATCACGTTTATATCTGCTGTGTAATCAGTTGTTAGAACCCACATCAAGTAAAAAATATCCAGAGCTTATTATCGTTATCGATATAAATTTTATTGCAATCTTGATATGATATTGTTTATTTTCCAGCCCTACTGTTAAATAAATGCTTTCATTTTGTGGAAAAGAGCAGTTTGAACATTTGAAGTTTCCAATTTGGCAATTCATAACTATTTTACATTTCAGTGAATTGGTGGCTAATTTGTATGAATCTTTTTTGAACATGATTTGTTTACGATTTGCTTAGACTATGTTTAGGGGTGGACATTCATGTAATTTTTTTTTTCTCCAAAATAAATGCATTTCCATGCGAATCACATCCTACAAAATCACCTCATAAAATATTTGTTTTATTCTAGCTTAAAGCATTCTTTTTTTATCAACACTTGAATATAGGAAAATTAGTGTTTACTATTGTCATTTTGCATTATTGACACACTATTTTCCTAATTAATGCTGTTCAGTTGCTTTGACACAATCTGTATTGTTAAAAGCGCTATATAAATAAAGGTGACTTGACTTGACTTGACAAACAAGCGCTACTCTACACTGCTCAAAACTTGCGTTTGAATCATCAGTGGCAAATCCTTTAAATATGAAAACCTTTTGTTAAACTTTTTACAACTATTTAACATTTAGCAACACCAACTGACATTATTTCAACTACTATGTTGAAAATCGGTTATGCGCTGACTGGAGAAGGTGAGAAGAACAGCATTTTGGATGAGTGCATAAACTTTAAATTCGACTGAGTTCATGAGTCTAACAGATGCATGCTGGGATTGAGACGTCTTACTGAAGAGTTGGCCGTGTGGCGCAGGAAATGCATCATTTTGGAGTCTGCATCTGAAGTGCAGGCCAGAGCCATGTAGCGGTTCCGGAACGTTCCGTAGATCTTCAGATGGAATCCAGGCTTCGCTGCCGGCTGCGAGGAGCGGCGTGATTCCCTCACAGTGTCGATCCCGTACGCCGACAGATCAAAATACAAACTATGCGCACGGATCTCAGGTGTGGGAACCTAGAAAACAGACACTGACCATTATTTTCTTAGTATAAACTTTCACTACACCTGGACCAACATCTTAATGATATTTATATAATATTTATTTTATATTTTATTACTACACTTATTGCTATGATTTCATATTTTACTATAATATTTTATTATAATATATATTTTTATTATTGATTATATTTACATTTATTAACTTGTTCATAAGTCATCCTCAACATATTTAAATATTTGTTGCATGTCCATTTAACTATGATTCACAAATTAATTACTGCAGAGAACAAGCTGAATTGCCTCTTCTATTCCCCATCTAGGGCCAAATTGGTGATCTTTTATTCTGATGAAATGAGGACAGGAAATTTCATTGGACTAAAGAGATTTCTAATGGGGGGCAAAATCACCCAGAAGGCACTATTTTCTGAAACAATTCAATAATCGTGGCAGAAGCATCAGTACAGTACAATCCAGCCAGGTCATGTTCTGGCCTTTAAGGATTTCTCATTTGTCTCCTGTTTGAACAGACATACACTGACTACTGCATATTCCTAAATGGAAGCAATGGGCTTTTATTTTGAAATTTGTCTGTAATTTTAATGAAATCAATGAAAATGTGCATTGTATGAAGTATTCAGACTGCTGTATTAATTGACTTGTTTTGAACTTAGTTTGTGATTAAAAGTTTCTCATTTCACATGTGAAGAAGAAATTTCTTAAAGGTACAGCGGCAAAAATCCCACCCACCATTTCAGCGTTTAAATCAGGGGTGCCCAAGCTCGGTCCTGGAGGGCCAGTGTCCTGCAAAGTTTAGCTCCAACCCCAATTAAACACACCTGAACCAGCTAATCAAGCTCTTACTAGACATACTAGAAACCTGAAGGCAGGTGTGTTGAGGCAAGTTGGAGCTAAACTCTGCAGGACACCGGCCCTCCAGGACCGAGTTTGGGCACCCCTGGTTTAAATCAACATCATTGATCAAGGTTGTAGGTTTTGCAACATTAGTTGACTTTTCAACAGCTCTTGTTTAAATTTCATGGTTGCTTTATAAGTATTTCACTAACCTTTTTACAACCATTTAGCATTAAACATTGTTTCAAGGTTGTTGTTTTTTTCAACACAAAAAAAAACGTACTCGGTTACTAATGTAACCTCGGTTCCCTGAGATACGGGAACGAGTACTGCGTCTTGCTTAAGACGCATATGGGAAAAAGCCTTTTTTCTCCTGAACTGAACCCTTTTTTCATTCACGCAGTGAAACTGCACGGCCATTGGTTCGTGCAGAGCTTAAAAAACGAACCAATGGCTCGGCAGCGGAGCTGCACGAGCCTATGGCGACGA